TTGTATTTCTTTGTTTTGCCTGATTGCCATGGCCAGGACCTCCAGTACTATGTTGAATAACAGTGGGGAGAGTGGGCATCCCTATCTTGTTCCCGGTCTTAGAGGAAAAGATTTGAGCTTCTCACTGTTATGTATGATGTTGGCTGTGAGTTTGTCATATATGGTCTTTATTATGTTGTGGTACTTGCCCTCTATACCCATTTTGTTGAGAGTTTTTATCATGAATGATGTTGAATTTTGTCGAATGCTTTTTCAGCATCTATGGAGATGATCATGTGGTTTTTGTCCATTTAGATGTACCATCTTTAACTTCACTAGATACTGTCAAATTATTTTCCAAAGTTTTCATAATAATTTAGATTTATACCAGCAATGTATATGAATTTTAGTTGTTCTAGATGCACACCAACACTTGATACTGACAGACTTTAGTTTTTAATTTTTGTTGATCTGAAAGGCATGATAGGAACCCTATTTTTATATTAAACTGCATTTCCTTGTTCACCAGTGAGTTGGAGCATTTTTTCGTATGCCTATTAGGTATTTGTGTTTCCTCATTTGTAAACCACCGTTTTTTTCTCTTTTGCCATTTTTTTTCATATTAAATTGTTCATCTTTTTCTTATTGATTTGTAGGAATTTTCACCAATTGTGGATACTGTTTCTTCATTGGCTATGTGTGTTGCCCATACCATCTCCCACTCTGGTTTGTCTTTTTACTTTTTATGGTGTGTTTTACTTAATATGCTTTTTTCTTATGTATTTTCTGCTTTAATTATTTTTTATTTTTGTTATTTAACATTTTTATTATTATTTTCTTATTTTATTTCAGTTATTCAGAAATTCCTACCATGAATCCATAAAGATATTGTATGATATATTATTCTTTATATTTTTGAGTTTTGCCTTCTCACATTTATATCTTTAATGCACTAAGACTTCCATTTTTCTTTGTGGTATGAAATAGAGAAATCTAATTTTTAAAATATGGATAAGCTGTGGTATCGTAGCACCTTTTATTGAAAAATTCATCCTTTCCTGCTGATCTGCAATACTAGTTCAGATCTCTGTCAAGTTGTCATGTGAGTGCGTGTTTGTGTGCATTCGTTGTGTATTTCTGCACAGCGGATTACCCCAAAATTTAGCAGCTAAAAACAACAATTTATTATCTCACAGTCTCTAGGGGTAGGAATCTGGGAATGGTCTAGCTGGGTAGTTTTGGATCAAGGTTTCTCACAAGGTCGAGATTAAGGAGTCAGCTGGAGAAGCAGCCACCCTAAAGCTCTGCGGGGAGAGAACCCACTTTCAAGCTTACTTATGTGACTGTTGGCAGGTCCTTAAAGGCTTTTGATGAGAGACATTAGTTCCTGCCCAGCTGAGTCTCACAGAATTTAGGTTTATACCAGCAAATGTATATGAATTTTAGTTGTTCTACATGCACACCAACACTTGATACTGACAGACTTTAGTTTTTTATTTTTGTTGATCTGAAGGGCATGATAGGAACCCATAATGTGGTAGCTTGATGAGTGAGAGACTGGAGAAAAAGAAAGCGAAAGAGGGCTCCCAAGATAAGAATCACAGTCTTTATATACTCTAATCTCAGGATTGACATCCCAACAGTTCTGCCATATTCTGTTCCTTAGATGTGAGTCACTAAATACACACTTAAGGGGAGATGACACAAGAGCATGAAAACCAAGGATAAGGGATCATTGGGGCCATCTTAGAGCTGCCTACCAGTTTCCATTTTACTGATCTATACCAGTGCCATTACCACACTGTCTTCTGTAACTTATATATTAAGTCTTCTTATCTAGTAGGGTAAGTTCCCCTACTTAGTTTTCAAATGTGTCTTGGCTGTTTGGGGCTCTAAGAACAGAATCTAGAATCAGCTTATTCAATTCAATGAAAACCTGTCAGATTCTTACTGGAATTGCATTACATTAATGGATTAATTTGTAAATAAGTCAATATTTTATATCCAGATTTCATTTTATTTATGTGATTTCTCTTTTACATTATTTTAGGATATTCACCAGAGGGGTTAGAGAGAAAAACAATTGGGGTGTCTTTTCAATAAAATACCTCAGACAAATTTTTTTTGTCTGGGCTTCTTATGAAAAAATTCACTGGTAATGCACAGTATATGGAGGGTTTGTGTATTGCCTCAATTCCTAGGTTTAGCAGCTTTAAGGGCTATCTCCATGGTGAAGTTCTATAGTTCTAGAACATAGAGTTTGATGGTATACCCTTCAGTAAGTTAGTACTAGGTATGCAGAAAATTTTCTGTTGAAATTCTTATCCTTCTCACCTTTTTGCAGTGGACAACTATGCTTCAGTTTGCCCAGCAACTCTCTCTTTTTATAAGAACAGCATCCCTCTTCTTCTGGGGAACTGTTTTACCCCCACTTTGAAGCAGGTGGCTCTAATCCAGGCTGCCAATCACAGTTCCCTGACCACAGAAGTAAGCACAGATCCTAATCCAGGCCAACCATAGCTCCTCCCTGGACTTTATGAAATTGGAATTCAGGGAAGAGGTTCAATCCTTCTTTGGTGACAGTCTGAGAGACTGAGAGCTTCAAGTTTGTAGACTTGTAAAATAAGCATTCCTGACAAAATGAAACTGAGATGAAGAAAGAAGCTGAGATGAGAGATGGAGATGTCTTAATGGTATCCAGGTGCCTGGTGCTAGATGCCAGGTGCAGCAGATGCATCCCTGCCTGCTTCAGTTTGATTAGGTGGGCCAATAAATTCCTATTTTGGCCAACCCTTTGCAACCCAAATTCCTGACACCATCTTCTTGCTGATTTACATAGCCCCTCCTATTCACTTAAAAACTCTTTGTCAAATCTTATTCTTCATTTATCAACATAAGTCCTTTTCTAAGTTGTGTTCAAACCAATCGTGATCAGTCTTTTAGCAAGAGGAAGTGTTATTGAACATCTACTACACGCCAGTCATCAAAGAACACAGGGTGACCTCAAGTCTTCCATGAACGCAATTAAAATAACGTGCCTTAGCAAAATTAACATAAAACCCTGGATAAAATGAAGGTTCCTGTGGCCAAGATTCTCACCTACACCTAGCCCTGGTTGGCTAGCTCACTACACATGTATGGGCAATATGTTGTTATTGATTCTATATAAAGGGCTCCACCCAGTGCTCTGGGTAACAGGGTGGCACGGCTGCAAGGCTGCAGGAGAGCAGAGCAGAGGACAGAGACTGGGTCGGCTGTGCGGGCAGAGAGGACCAGAGGCAAAGACAGGCTTGCTGCATGCAGACTCACTCTGAGTGAACGAGATTGTAGTGATTGACCTGCCACGGTGGAAATAAAGTTGGGCATAATCCTTTAACCTTAAGAATGTTCTGTCATTTGAATCCACAGTGAACTTACCTGGGCCTGAAACCCATTGGCAAGACAAACACACTGTAAATTATGGATATTTGGATCTTAAATAGTAAAATCATAAATCTCGAAGTATAGTGGAGGTTGCTAGAGACTGACTAGCAGTAATTTTGGAACTTGACATGAGGGAAAGTAAAAAAACTAAATGAATTAGAGTCAGCCTGATCGCTGATCACCTGCTATATGTAAAGAATATGGTGTGTTTGGGCAATACTGGGGTGAACAAGATGAGGTCCCTTCACCAACTCTAAAGTAAGAAGGAACTGGGATTAATGTACTATTGAAATTACGAAGCACTCTAGGAGCACAGAAGGTGGAGATTTTTGATGCTCACGAAAGTCCTAAAAGGAAGCCCAAAGTTCAGTAAGAATTCCAACTTTCTAGAGTTAATAACTAATGGACCCCAAACATGAATCTAGGCTGTTACTATCAGAGTTGTTTTAATTATCCTGCATTAATTGAACTGAGAGACTTTAGGATCCTTATAATTTAAAAAGAGTAACTCTCAGTTCTCTTTCCATCACATCCCAATTTCCTACCAAGTTGCAGCCCCGAATAACAGGTGGCTACTGAATTTTAATAATTTAAGCAGCAACAAAATTAGGTCGTCAAGCAGCACAGACAAACCAAGCTTTTCAGCCGCAGGGTTTGTTTGCTCAAGCGTGCCTCCGTTGAGCGCAATGCGCCTTGGGAGTTGTAGTCTCGGGGCTCAGACCCCGCGGCCAAAGGCATTGCTTCACGGGGACCCACTCAGCAGAAAGCCAACTTGCTCTCCGCGCAGTGATTGGCCGGAAGTCAGCTGCCGCCCGTCCGCGGCGCAGTCGCTGCGTCGTTAGTAAAGGCAGCACAGGCGCCGGTCTGAAGTGTCGGTTGTGGTCGCGTTCTCCCGAACCCGGTCTGTGAATACAGCAGCGTGGCCATGGCAGAACCACAGCTCGCGTCCTGCGGCCTCACGGACGAGGCCGCCCTCGGTTGCTGCTCGGACGCAGAACCCAGCACCAAGGTGGGCGCAGATCCTGCTTCTTCTGAGCCGGGGCCCCGGAGGGAGCAGATACCCTGGTTCAGCCAGGCCTGCTGGGCTGGATTGGAGCCCCTCCTTGGGCGGACCAGAGTGGCTGGGAGAGGGCTAATGGTGTCCAGTGGAGGATCCGTGAGAGGATCCATTTCTGAAGGATGTTTAAAAGATTGCAACCCAACTGGCTTTTAATTTATTTTGGGACGGTAACTGGAAGCCACGGCTAGCCTAAGGTGAGATCCCTGGTCTGGTGGTGTGCGTGTTGCCCAGGTGATCCCACGGCAGGCCAAATCCCAGCTTCAGAACTCCCGGTCCAGGTTCGAAGGTCCCTCTCCCAGCCTGGATTCAGGCTTACCTCCTACAAACTAATTCTATCGCTCCGAGTTTAACCGCGCCCAGAATTTCACTTCTGCTTGGCTTTTATGGTTTCTCACGGCCGTATTTATGCTCTCTGTGCGCGGTGGCTCCTAGGAGAGATGACCGAGTCATGGGGCTTAAATCTGAAGGGAATCTCAGAAATTCCTTCACCGACCCTCCCATTGCAGCAGAAACCCAGTAAGGGGAACGACCTGTTGCATACGGAAGCTTTCCTGCCTCCAGCTTGCGTAACATGTCTGTCCTTAAGAATCAGTGTAACTCATTCAGAATCAGTGGAACACTTAGGTGTGATGCCTCCGTGCTTCGTCAGGATTAGACCCAGGAGCCGCTCGGAGTTGTGGCGGTGGGACCCGGTGGGTACTCACAATGTCAGTAAACGCCTTTGTATTTACTCACTAGATTCCTTGAACACTGAATATGTGCTTTATGCAGACCTCTAAGAGGGGTGGATAATTTTGGTCTCTGCTTGCTCTTTGCCTTCAGGGTGAAGAGTCAGACACCTCTAATTGCTCAAGACTTTGGCAAAAACCCTGTACTCAGCTTAGGGAAAATGTTAGTAACTGCAAAATTAAGGGAGAAGAAGGAAAGAAATATATCTCAAACTCATCTCACTTGTATACCCTCTAATAGTAATACTTAGTTGTTTCATATAAATTGAGTTACTTAGTATACATTAGCTTCCCATATTACTAGAGATTTTATGTACTGGACTATTAAAAGATTTCAGGGAGCTCTTTATAAAATTTGTTAAATACATTTCTTTGCACTCTTAATTTACACTCCGCATAATCTAAATTTCTCCTGGTGATTTGGAATAATTACTTCTTGAGTTCAGTATCCTGCACCCTTGAAGTACTAGGTGGGGGACATAAAATGGAATATGTAATAGCCACTCGTATGTATTGAGTATGCCAGGCCCTGGGTTGTTTTAATTACATTATTAAATTTAATCCTCACAACAACACTATGAGAAAGGCATGATTATTATCTCCATTTTACAAATAAGGAGACTCTGGTACATAGGTGTTGAGTAACTTGTCCAGGGAGGAGCCCACACTCTCAGCCTCCACCCTATTCCACTTCTAGAGACTGACTCCAGCAGTAATTTTTGAACTTGACTTGAGGGAAAGTAAAAAACCTAAATGAATTAGATTCAGCCTGATTGATGATCACCTGCTATATGTAAAGAATATGGTGTTTGGGCAATACTGGGGTGAACAAGTTGAGGTCCCTTCACCAACTCTAAGGTAAGAAGGAACTGGGATTAATGTACTATTGAAATTACAAAGCACTCTGGGAGCACAGAAGGTGGAGATTTTTGAAGGCAGCACTGACAGTGGGCACATGGTATTCAAAGTCTGGAGACCTACATTTGAATCCCCTGGTCTATCATTGGCTGCAGTGATCTTTGCAGGGCACTCGGGCTGAGTTTGTAAAAGCCTCATAGAGAGCTGCTGTCAGGATAAAGTATATGGATGCTCTTTAAACTGAAAAGTGATACAATTCAAGGTGTTATTTCACCTGTGGGGAAGCTAGCAGAAAGTGAGAGTGGACCCATACCTTGAAAGATGGATGGTATTCCCAACACCACATGGGAGGGATTCTAGATGGAAAAACATCTGAGCAAAACTGTGGTGAGTTAGCAGGAAAGATGGAGTGCAGGGCATGTGGTGGAGAGGTAGGTTACTTGTTTTTGGTTCAGGTTAAGTTTATCTAAGCAGTGGCAAAGTCTAGAATGGTAGTTTAGAGCCAGATCATGGAGACAGCTTTGATTATCACATCTAAAGAAGTTGCATTTTATGTAAGTAGTGGAACCATTCAGGATTTCATATCTACTCAGGATTTTAGAGTAGATGGGAGGGACCCAAGCCTGGAGGTGATGAGGACACCTAAGAAGCTCTTCCAGAAGGTGAGATAAGTGATGAGGGCCTGGTTTGGAAAGGAGTGAGCAGTACTAGTAGAAAGTCAAGTTGCTTGTTGATCTTTTCATCAGACCAGAGAATGTGCAGCTGTACCACATCCTGGGCAGTCTTACTTGGCTCACTTCATAAGACTGAATATTTTTCCCAAGTCGTAATATTCTGAAAGTCATTCTTTTTACTGTCTCTGTCAGTGTCCTTTAATACAATAATTTGGAGTCCTGTTCCATCTGACTGGTAGGTGTTAGGGTCAGGGAAAACTTTCAGGGTTGGTGACACTTAAGCTAAGTTTTACCAAATACAAAGAAGGTAGCCGGGTAGAGTTAGGTGCAGGACTAGGGGGTAAATGATTGGAAAGGAGAAAGGAAGGATAATGGCCATGACTTCTAGGCAGAGAGAATCATAGTATATATACAAGCACAATGACAGCAGAGAACTGATGCAGTGATCTGCAATGAGATGGAAATTATAAGCCGTGGCAGTTGAGAGGATGGTGCACAAAACATTTGTTGGGATCCATATAGAAAATATGAGCACTCCCATTATGTTCATTTGTTTTTCCCACCCTGTAAAGATTTCTATTTGGTAATTCTATTTTATAATTAGAACATTTATATGTGTAAATAATTATAATATACATTTATTGGGGATTCGTGTTCTTTTTTTTTTAATTGATAAGGATTGATTTTGAACCTAGAAATGTCATGATCGGGTTTTGATTACAGAAAGATAACTGTAAATTGCATCTGGGTAAGCCTGCAGGAAGCAGAAAGACCAGGGAGGCTGTGACAATTGTCAAGATGGGAAGCAGTGAGAACCTGAGCAAGGTAGTGATCATTAGAAAGGCAAGGAGAAAGATGCCAGAGGCATTTAAGCAGTCAGGTTGATAGGACACTGGATTGGATTATGGAGGAGTGGGGAGGGAGGAATCTAGGAAGACTCCAGATGTCTGACACAGGCAAACAAGGGATTCTAGAGGCATTCTCTGTTGGAAATATAAGGAGTATTTATTTGGGCTGTGATGAATTTGATATTTTGACCCAGGTAGAAATGATGAGTAGCCTGAGGTTAGAGGTATGGGCTTGTAAATGCAGATTTGAAAATCAAGAGGAATAATGGTAGTGGAAACACTGTTTTATAATAACAGGAAGAACAGTAATAAGTGAAGTAGTTTGCTCTGGCCAGTCTAAGCAGACAGACTGCTAAACACTTTCATGGATTATCCCACTGAATTTCAACTCAACCCTAGGAGCTAGGAACTAGACCTATCCCCATTGTAAAGATGTAAGAACTGAGGTTCAATAAAAAGAATGAATTTATGCAAAATAATGGTGGTGGAGCCTACATGTGAACCATAGTGCCTCTGAAGAATTATTTCTCCCATATGTGTATATATTTTTTCTCCCTTTGAATGAGATTTGGAAGCTGTAGGATACTGAGGGCTTGCAGGATTTTCCTGTTTCTCTTACTTGTTGTAAGAGTAGCCTGGCAGATATGTTTACTAATACAACAGGTAATTTTTAAATTAAAAAAATTTTCCTTTGTTTCTCCTAGCTCTCTTCCTTGTCTGTAGAGTAAGTATACTTGAAGTATTTTGTTGGCTGTTGAGTTATAGAGTGGGGAGGAAAGAACCACATAAAACCAATTTAGATAAGATGGACTAAACATAAAGGGAGTGGCTGAATTATTTTCTGGAACAGTTTGTCATAGTCTGACATAGATTGAATCAGAGAAGTAACAACAGGAGGAGGAAGATAGAGAAGAAAAATATATCATAACCATATTGTCCATCAACCATGTGCTGCAGCCATCACATAGTAAAATAATCTTGTTCCCCTCAGCTGCACTTGTATTTCCAGAAGGAAGTTTCACTGAAGGCAGTTGTGACTGTAAAGAATCAGGAAAAAACAAAACTTCATCCATTTTTGTTTTATAGGAGATATGATACCTAGGGGTAAAGAGTTAAGCCCTTTCCCTTTTGATGAGAATCTGACCTTCCGTTAACTCTTACTCTGTTTTCCAGGAAACAATTAAAAATGGTGCAGTATTGCTTATGGTAAAAATAACTTTGATAAATTGCATCTGGAGAGGGAGAATTCTAAGTATCTAATAGGAAGCTGGGCTTCCCTGATTGCAGTGACTCATAACGTCCCTTGTGGAGATTCTGGAAGCTCTGTCTACAGAGTTGCTACTAGAGATATTGGTTCCTGTGGCATGTAGGGCTTCTACACCAGGGTGATCTCACTCATAATCAGTGTGGATCTTCTCCCTGTTCGTGAGCCGTGCAGTGTGAGTCCTTTAAGGACTCCTGCTGAGGAGGAACGGCTAACACTGCTCTGTTGACAAGCTGTGTTTTTCTGACTGATATCCTTTCAGTGTGTGTTTGTATTGAGTCTGAATGTTTAGTTGAGCCTTAAAAAGACTTCCTGGCTGGGGGTGATCAGAAAAGAGAGTTGATGGGCTCCAAAGGAAGCTGGCTTCACTGCTGTTAAGGCCAAAACACAGGTTAGGCCAAAGAAATTTAAAATTTTCTGAAAGTTTTGGTAATGTGAGTTTGAAACTTCTCTTTTCTGAAGACTGAAGATGATAGAGGCAAGGGATTTTGATTTTGAGTAAAATGTGGTAATCTTAAAAGTTCCTTAGTAAGAGAAATGAGGGTCTTCATCACAAGATAGAGAATTTGAGAGGCAG